TATATTATAATATATGTATATAATTATAATATATTATATTATATGTTATAAGATATAATTACATTATAATATAAATTATTATAATATAATATAAATTATATTATAAATATTAATATATTATAAATTATATTATAAATATTAATATAATAATATTTATAATTCTAATATTCAAGGGTAATGATGGAAAAGAAAATTAGAAGAGCTTGGGATGGGCATTCCTCTCATGTGAGGAAGGAATGATGATTCACCATTTGATGGAAAAGTCATTCCATTTTGAATAGCCATTCCTTTTCCTAAAACCTACCAAACATGAGAATGAACCTTGATTTCTTTCCATTCCCCCAGCCAAACACACCCTCAAGTTTAAGGAATTTACACAAGTACTACGGCATATTTCTTTGTGTGAGTGTGTGCATGCAAAGTGCATTTATGGTGCGTGAAAGGAGACTTTTGAATCAAGGCACACACATCAGGAGAAGATCTTGGAAACTAAAAAGCAGGAAAATTTGTGCTTTATTATTTCATATATGTTTCAATCAAAAAGGTCATTGTTAAAACAAACTACAGTGATATGACATGTTTTACAAGGGTTACATTGTCAATTAAGTTACCTGAATATTCCTTAAATATTTCAGGACATGTATGACTTCATGGCTCTTGACCGACCATCAACCCCCGTTATAGATCGTGGAATAGCGTTACACAAAATGATTAGGCTCATTACTATGGGACTAGGTGGAGAAGGATACTTGAATTTCATGGGGAATGAATTTGGACACCCTGGTAAGATCAGTCCACCTTGTTGTATTGTCTTTTGCTTGCGATTATTAGATTGAACTGCCATTCAAAACTCACATATGGTTATATTCCACTGTTATTTCCTCAGAGTGGATTGATTTTCCAAGGGTTGACCAACATCTTCCCAATGGTAAAGTAGTTCCTGGGAACAATTTCAGCTTTGACAAATGTCGACGTAGATTTGATCTTGTAAGCTTCTCACTTTACTTATTTTTCTAGCATGTGTTGCTATTAATCGGGTATGTGCAAGCTTATGCTTGTATTCCTGGTACCTTGTTTTATCTAAATTGTGATACGGCACGACTTCTTCAAGCAACATTAATCTCTCAATCTTATGCAAATACATTTATCAGAATCATGATACAACACAACTTCTGCTGCTCTGCAAGCAACATTAATTTCTCTGATTATGAGAATTATGATTCAATACAACTTCCACAAGCAACTTTAATTTCTCCATATTGTACAAATAAAATTACCAGCCTAATATCCCATTCTTACTATGCATGCCTAGGGGGACGCAAATTTCCTAAGATATCATGGAATGCAAGAGTTTGATCAGGCAATGCAGCACCTTGAAGAAGCGTACGGTGTAAGTTTTTACTTGTGCTCGTACTGTTGTACAATCTAGCTCGTTTTCAATTTCCACTGGGCTGGATAACCACTGAATGCTTCCATAAAATCTGGTTACTGGCCGTTTTAAATTTCTATATTAAGTTCTTATGATATCTGTTTAGATTTTTTTTTCTTTTTGATATTTGAGAAGCCCTTGCATATAATATTGACTTTTATAGATTGGTTATTTCAAACTTTCTCTGCATGGAATTGTATCTTTTCTGTTATTATTCTGTGAATGAAAAAATAAAGTAGTCAACTTCCAATGCAGTTCATGACTTCTGAGCACCAATATATTTCTCGGAAGGATGAAGGAGACAGGATCATCGTCTTTGAAAGGGGAGACCTCGTCTTTGTCTTCAACTTTCATTGGAGTAACAGTTACTTTGACTACCGAGTTGGCTGCTTAAAGCCAGGAAAATACAAGGTAATGCTCTATTTAGCTTTCGGCTAGGCGCTTACAGTTCCTACATATGCTAAATATACTTGTCCTTTCTGCTTCCCTAATTCTTTGTCATTTGTTGCTTGATTGAAGACAAGCTTTATATCTTCATGAAAATTCTTATCATGACGCCACAATCTTTAAAAAAAATGCATAAACCAACTTTAAATTATGTCGTGGACACCATGAAGCCAGAGTGTTCTTTTGAGTTTTATCATTTCAGGCTTTTTTCTTCTCTTTTTTTTTTTTTTTTTTGGGTTACTTTGCAGAGATACATCACCATTATCTCTTTTAACTTGATGGTTACTGATTCTTTGCTTTTTCTTGAATATTTCAAAAGTTATTTGTTCCGTGTAACATTGTTGTGCTCTTTATGCAGATTGTATTGGATTCAGATGATCCATTGTTTGGAGGCTTTAACAGGCTTGATCACAACGCTGAATACTTCACTTCTGTAAGAGAATCTTGTTCCCTGCTAACTCTTTTGTAGTCATTTGGCACGGTATGATATAGAGCTAATGTATTAAATTCTGACTCTGCTGATGCAGGATGGATGGTACGATGACAGGCCTCAGTCTTTCCTCGTCTATGCACCATGCAGGACAGCGGTTGTCTACGCTTTGGTAGACGATGATAAGCCAGTCGAAATTGAATCCACGAAAGATGAAAGGTTCAGTACGATAATTGGATCTTCTTCCAACCATAAGCAAGAATAGGCAACAGACTAGGTAGGCGACCAATTTCTCCGGTAGGTGTATAGTAGAAATATTTCAAATGGTTCATTTTGTAATTTCTTAAATTGCGTGATGTTGAGTAGTTGGCTAGATTTTTCAATCTGTATAGCACTTACGTAACTAATTTTGGGATTTTATTAATTTTGGCATGGTGCTTGCACCTTTTGACTTTTGATGTCAATGTTGTTCCATTAATTTCTTGGCGTTCTGGTACCACTGGTCTCTATAACTGGTCTAAACATTTTAAGAACTGATAATTTGATCTAAATTGCTCAACTGTTTTAATTTCTGAATATTGTTTTTTTGTATCTTTAGTCTCTGATCCAAAATGGATGATGGTCGCTAAAATTTAAAATAGAAGCATGTTCATCCTGCAATAACACGTAATTTCAATGAAAAAATTATTCAGGTGAAAATGTCTACGTTGTTCCCAAGGACCCCCCGGAACAAAACAGTTTTTTAGTGAAAGAAAAAGGTAACCAATAAAAAAAAAAGGTCATGCAATTTACACATTAGAGCAGCTCTTAAAAAAGTACGCTCATATGACTTATGAAAACCATTTAAAAAAAAAAAAGAAACGCATGATCACATCATATAAATCAACAATCTTCATGAGCTAACAATGCAAGACTCGGAGGCAGACCCACGAGGCAACTGATGTAGAACGCTAGTGGGAGAGGAATTAGAGTTGGATGACCTTAGGGCCTCCGCGAGAGGCCCACCCATCGGAGTCATTGGGCTGGCACCCCATACCGTGGCCCAGCCCAATTGCGGATGATGGTCCCGGCCCATATGGCCATCCTGTTGGGCCGGCCCATCCCCGTCCCCAGTGGACAATTTCAATGAAACATCTGAAGACGAATTTCCCGGCATGGAAATAGAAAGGCTAGTAGTGGAGGAATTCATTGAGCTCGCTTCTTGAAGCGATCTAGACCAATCATCGAAGAAATGCCGGAGTATATGACCACCGGATTTGCCGTCGCTGCCGGAGACCTCGTTGTGGGGTTCAAACAAGTCCTTGCTTTCACGTTTATTACTTACGTCCGAGGAACTACATGGGACAAAAGCATGAAAGGGAATTATAGCATAGGAACAAAGTCACCAAAAAAAAAAAAAACAAAAAAAGTGGCAAGAGCCAAGAGAACCAAAGGAAAATCAACGGTTGGGAGCTTAGTTTGTACAAAATGTAGAGATTTTCTCAGATTTGATAAAATATTTGCCCCCCCATGTGCGTTCTGTCCTGCAAAGTACATTAACTTGCTGATGAACATGGCCAAGAGAATCTATTATGAATTATCTAACCACTGGGAGTGGTACCATTTCGTTTCTTAATAAGATGGGACACAAATGAGCCTGAAAAAGGTGGGAATGCCTTATGCCCCACCCACCACCGCAAAATCAGCCCCAACATATTTAAGTTCATTAATTCTTATTTTTCTTGTTATTATTTATTTATTTATTTATTTTTGGGTTAAACATGTCTTCTATGAATTATGATCTTTGATAAAATTAGCGCACGTGCCATACATTGAGGATTACTTTGGACGTCAAAATGCAACAAAAATAATATCAACTAAAATGATTTTTTCGTATTGTAACGCTCAAGATGTGCCTAATTGGAAATTATCCACATACGATTTAATTTGTTACATCTTTTTTCGACTATATTACTACCACCAAATGTTATTTCTTCATCACAAAACAAAGAAGAACAAGTACCAATCAGAATTCCCATTCCATAAAACACAAATAGTTGATTGAAAAAACAAAAAAGAAAAGTCAAACTATTTACCTCCGGTTGAGGTGAAGGAGATCTATGGAAGAGGATGGCCCTGAAAGGGCAAAATGGGTCCCACCAGAGGCAGTTCCCAAGGGAGACCCGCCAGCGGCGGTGGCGGAACTCGAACTCAGAGTTCCTCCTCCTCCGCCGCCGGAAGCAGCTCCGACGCCGGAAACTCTGCCGGCGACGGATGTGGGGGTTTCCACAGGCTTTCTTGAACGGTTTCTGCCACGGTGCATGTGTCGCTCGCAGTACTTCTGACCGACCACCACGTCCCTCGAACACCTCCACTTCTTCCCGTCTGTCCTCCTGCACCGCCCCGGCTCCGGATCCATCGCCGCCCTTCCCCAATACCCCGTTTGGAACACTACCACATTTTCAACACACAAAACATCATATATAATATAAACATATTTACGTACTATATGTATATGTGTTAATGTAGTTAATGAAATATTTTTTGATGTGATTAGCGTAATTCCACACTCAGACTCTACTACTTAAAAATAAAAAATAAAAAATAAAAAGTAAAAAGTAAAAAGTTTATCACTTCCATAGAACATGATGAAATGCATGTTGTCTGTAGTGGACGTGATGCACCAAAGAATATGAGACATTGATTGCGAGTTACACAAAAGGGGGGAAATGATTAGTGTTAAACAAAGTAATTAATTAGTTGAAGATGATAATGATAAAATAATTGTAAAATCAAACAACGTGATACAAACAATATATATGTGACATAATATTTACAAGAATATGTACTTGAGAGAGTATAACTTACAAGCAGCAGCAGGCTGAAAATGGTGGGCGTACGGTTGAAGAGTTGGATGGTGAAGAAAATAAGGAGGATTATGAAGAAGATTAAAGCTTTTCTTGATGGGTTGAAGTAGCTCAGGAGGCACAGCAGCGCCAGCTAACATGTATCTAAATATCAAAGCCTGCAGTTCTAGCTCTTGCCATTGGGCCAAGCTGAAATAACTTCCCATTCCTGACACATTTCCAAAAAAAAAAGACAAAGAAAAGATCAAATTATTACAAACCCAGAAACAGAAACTTTTGAAACTTCTGATTTTTTTTTTTTTTTTGAAGCAAGAAAAGGGTGAAGGAAGAGAGGAAAGATAATTAACTGGGGTGGTGTCTAGAAGAGGAAACTGGGGTTGTTGTTGTTGATTGATCAGGAAATGCTACTGACAAGTGGGTGGGGATGATTTTGTTGTTGGGTTGATGGTGATGATCAGGTACAAACAGAGGTAGAGCAGAAGAAACAGGAGATGGTTCTGGTTTGATCTGATGGGGTTGCTGCTGGTGATGATCAAGAAGGAGTTTTGGTATCTTTGCAGAATGTTGTTCTTGTTCTTGTTCTTCCTGTTCTGACTCATATTGCTGATTTCTCCATTGCTTCAGATGGAAGTCCATGGAGAGAGGGTCAGAGAAAGACAGACAAAGAAAGAGAGAGAGAGAGAGAGAGAGAGAGAGTGAGAGTTAAAGCCTTAAACTTAAAGAGGGGGTTTTTTCCCTTTTAAGTTTGCTTTTAATTTGGTCGGTGTTTTAAGGTCCATTTACTTCACTGATTTGAATTTGTAATTTAAGTTGAGATGTGATTTTATGTAAGAATTTTTTTATTATAGTAAAAAAATTAAATGTGATTATTTATAAGAGCTTTTTACTATAACAAAACTCAAATTTTAAACTTAAATTAATGAAGTGAACGGAGCCTTAATATCTCTTTCTATCTCATGTTTTTTTTTTTGTTGGTATATTGTATCAATGTATGAGAATTAGAACAAGAGATAAGATGAGATTGAGAAGAGAAAGTTTTGCAAAAAAGCTTTTTGCAGGGACTTGTGCGGGTTCTCTTTTATAATCTTTGGCAGATACCTCACACAACAAATATATCTGACAAGAAAAGCCTGCAAAGTTTGTTTATGGCCAGTAGGGAAGCCTAGGGCACTTGAGAAAGACAGTCAGACAAGACAGTTGAGAGAAAAAGAAATTAATTAAAAAATATAACACTGATCAGTAATAAATTATCAAAAAAAAAAACTGATCAGTAATAGTTAATGATTTTTTTATTATTATATTTTTAACTAGCATGAAAAACCCCAGAACAAGTATATAGCTAGGGAGAGGTCAAAGAAAGAAAAAAAAATCACTTTGCTTTGGAAATAGTAACGAGCAATTTTATAGCAAAAACAAAAGCACGGGGTTGTCTTTCTTGATAAAAAAAAAAAAAAAAATTGTGAGTTTTTTGTCTGTTAAATTTATATAAAATTATATAAAAATTAAAAAAATAAAGAAAAAAAATACTTTTATCACTATCAAATGGGAAGTTTTCATTTTCTTTTGGATTTGTAGTAATGGGATTGAATATAAAAACAAATTTAAGAGAATTTTCTAATATAAATTTTTTTTATTAATAATGTATTTTTTATCTAACTAAAATCATATTAAAATAAAATATATACATGAATAAATAACAAGACACAATGAGACATCTTCTAAATATTTTATTAGGAGATTCCTACAGCAAAGACCTGGAAAAATGCAATCTAGCAGTTAGTTTTTATTTTTCAGCCACTAAATTTATATGAAAAATTATTTATTTTACATATATTTTTTATTTTGATATGTTTGTGATCAAATTTATCCATTAAAAATGTACATTTTAAATAAGAGGCTAAATCTGTTTATTTCATAAATTTAAATTACTATTTAAATTTTTTTATAATATTTTCTCTCATAAAATTTAAATTTTTGTTTAAATTTTTTTGTTAAAATCTATAAACGAAACGGGCATAAAGACTCCAACGGAGAATGAACCATTTTCAACAAATGTAAGTTGAAGCCGGCAATGCAGTTCCATAGCAGCCGAGATGCAAATGTGAGATATAATGAGAGAGATTTTTAAGCCGACAATGCAGTTCCATAGCAGCCGAGCTCAGGCTTTTATCATTCTCCTTCCAGTCATTTAGTGGTGTGATAGTTAAAAATATTAGACGCTTTAAAACTCATTTTAAAATAATTTTATTTTTTTATATAAAAATTAAAATAAAAACATTTTTAATCTCAAATAAAAATTATTTTTTAAAATACATTTAATAATTTTATTAAAAGATTATTTTTAATATAAAAAACACATTAATGTTTCTCTCTCTCTGGCCCCTTGAGAAAGGAGAAAATAAAAATAATAAATAATAAATAACTAAAAATTATTTTTTATTTATTTCTCATTTTACACTAAATTAAAAAATTATTTTCATTTCTTTTTTATCTTTATTATATCAAATGTCGTCTTAAAAATATTTTCATTTTTTTCTTAAAAACGTAAAAAATAAAAACAAGATTAATTTTAAACGTGGCCCTCTCATCTAAGACTTGTCTTTTACGTTGTTGCAGCTTTGTATTCATACAATAATATTACCACAAATAAAAAAAAAAAAAAAGGATTAGTGCAAGTACCATAAGCAACATTATTCTCTGATGTTGTGTGATCTCCACAACCGAATAAATGGCCTTCCAGCCAATAATTCAGTTTTTATCGAAGTCTATGCATGCAATAATTTTCTCCAATACAAACTTCTATATGTGGGTTTGTTTTCTTCCTAGGGGATTATTCATTTCGGACGTGACAACCCATGCACGCTTTGTTCAACAACAACAAACAACCTGGTTATTTGTTATCTTGTTGAAAACTTTTTTTTTTGTGGGAAAAAGAAATTATAAGAATGAGAAAATGCGTGTTAGAAATGGATAATCGTCACTCACATTTTGAATTATTTTCAGGAGAGAGTAGATGACAAAATGTGGAAGAGCTAATGCCAAGTATGCACTATTGTTGTCAACGTTTTTTGGTGCATTGTGAATTGTATATATTTCAGGGGGAAAAAGAGGAGAAGAAAGATGTTCGATTAATTTGTACAAGTTTTTCTTTTGAGGTAAGGGAATTGTACAAGTTTGGCATCATCTACTGCTAGTAGTGGACCTACCAACTTTGTCGGTTCAAATCTCAGCAATCTCACACGTAAGAGAGAGAGAGAGAGAGTTATTCCATGTTTGCCAAGTCCATATGATCAAGTGGGTGGATTTGATTCTAAGACCCCTTATGAACAATTATTGGGGTCGACTGCAAGTTGGCAAACAAGCCATGAAGCTGAGGCTTAGTTTGGTTTTATTTTTTTCTCTTAAAATTGATTTTTATTTATAGCATACGTTGATTTTAATATTTAATAAATATCTTTAAAAACGTTTTTTTAAATTTTTTTTAAGAATCTACAACTAAAATTAGAAGTAATCTAAAGACAACTTTAATTTTTAGATTGTGCAGGAATTAACATAGTACAATTAATGAAATTTTAATAATACCTATAATACTCCTAATGAAATTTAAAATTTACAATCTTGCTGATCTAAAATTCAGACTCTTAATACAATATAATAGTAATATTGTAATAAATAATATCATAATTATATTAATAACTCTAATATTATTATTTTATCATATAATATGATATTATAATTATATTAATAATATAATATTATAATTATAATATAATTATAATATGATATTGTAATTATTATTTTATAATATATTATATTGTATTGATATAATTATATTTATTATATTAATAATTAATATAATTTTATATTAATATAATTTTATGGTTCTAATATTATTATATATTATAATGTATTACTCACGTCATGATTAT